AATATGACGTCCCTACAAATTTAATCATTAGTCAACAGCTAACATAAATATTTTTTTTTTTACAAAAATAGTTGCTTGTAGCTCCAAATGGCTTCTTCTGTTATTGTTGCGAAAACCTTTAAGAAAATTTTCAAAGCTTACCTCTTTCATCTTCACTCATTAAATGTGTCGCGTTCACTTTGTATTACTTAAAAATACTAAGCAAAAGGATGAATATCAGGTGTCTAAACCACCTTCTTTTTTTTGTTGTCTTTTGGAGCACAGATACAGCCATAACACAAAAGCAATTTCACAGAAGCGTGGAGATCAGCAAAGCAAACAGGAAACAGCCAATAGCAAATAAATCAATTTAACCTCTTTGACCCGTCTATCCTGTAGAGGCAAGTTCCACATGCATAAAGGTTTGGAAGTACACAAAGCTAAGCGAGCAACCTTGAATAGGCTGAATGCAATACGTGTTACATTCAGCCTGCACCATTGTGCTAGTTGATCTATATTATTTCCACTCTCTATTGGAGGCATTTTTTAGGTGGGAAAAGCCTCACTTTTTATTGAGTGCCATTATTTGTTCAAGGGTTATGACCATTTCTTAGCGTCAGACTCGATGTAATATGCCAGTCCTATTGTACTGTTTGTCCTGTGTTTACAGTGCTTTTGTGCATGTGTAAATAGATTAAGTTGATTGTACTTGGTTCATTGTTATCTCTTTTTTTGTTACAAGGAGACAAGTCTGACTACTAGCGCTTTAGGTAACTGTAGAGTCAAATGACATTAAGAACCTTTTCCGATTAACCTCTTCTTTCACTTTCTAATTAAGTAGAAATGAATTAACTATGCAGAGACTTGATTAGCTTGAAGCAATGCAGGAAACTTCACAATGACCCCCGTTCTTGCTGTTTGGAGAGACGCATTCGGTTCAATATCAGAGAGGAGGACAATTATACCTGGTGGTTTCACTCTAGTTGGGATATTCGTATCACTAACCACTCAATTATGTGCTGGGAAAAAAAGATTTCTAGTGAGCAATTTCTATCTTAAGTTACTCATTAGAGTAGCCTGTAATTAAAGGAATCAGAATTGAAAGAAATAAGTGCACACTCTGCTGGGCATAATCACATTCTTACAATTGGTTACATCTCTGATTGATCTGATTTGCATCCATTACCCATAGATATAGTTTTTTTGAAATATGAAGGTGTAATTTACAAGTGTAACTAGGAGACACAAGGGTTTTAAAAAATCACAATGGATGGATGGATGGATGGATGGATGGATGGATGGATGGATGGATGGATGGATGGATGGATGGATGGATGGATGGATGGATGGATGGATGNAGGGTGTAAGAGGTTAAATTAATAAATGTGTATTTGTAACTTCAGCCAAGCTTCAAAAGCTAAACCAGATATAAGTTTGGACTTTGACTGGGCAATTGTAACACAAATATCCTTTCATCTAAACTATCCTATTGTATCTGTGGCTGTATATCAAACTTTAATGTCAGCTAGAACATGTTTCCCCCAATCTAGGAGAAAGGGTTGTGTGTTTTCTATATACCTATATAACATATAAATTGAAAATAATAGGGTACTGTATGTATTTTCTAAAGCCTCCTCACCTGAGTGACCCTTTGTTGGCTGGGAGGCTGGCTGGGCTGTGTGTTCGGTACCCGTGGAGTTGAAACAGCAATGGGTCCTGATCCAGGCTCTTTCACTCCTCCTCCCTCAGTAAGCGACAACCATTTGGCTCGTGTTTTGGCACTCTTAGGGGAAACAGGCGGAGGTCGCAAGGCCTCCTCTGGGATGTGAACCAGTGGGGGTGCCACAGCCATCCTCGCTGTAGCTGCTGTTGAAGGATTGTTGCTGGCCTGCACTGTGGGATAAAGAGATGAAGGCATCCCTTTATTCTCTCCTTCGCCTGCGGCCGCTCCTCTTTCACCTCCTCTGTCCCTCTCATCCTCTCCTTCATCTTCATCCCTAGAGCTCTGACTGCGGAGCTCCAGCGATCTTTGCTTCCACTCTGACACCAGCTGCCGAGACCTCTGGGAATCAGAGGGGACGTGGAAGGTCATGTGGCGCTGCGTGATGATCGGCTCATCAGAAGGTGAGATGGGGCTGTTTCCATTTGCGACTCTGGGTAAGGTGTTGCTGAAGGTTACCATAGTCTCCTTGCCCATGGGTCCACGTGTTGCCAGGAGCTCTACATCAGCACTCGCTCGTTTCAGGGAGGCAAGGGATGCCTTTTCCCTCCTCACCTTACTGCGGGCTCCGGAACCCAACCCAGCCCCCAGCTCCTCCCTGCTCTCAGACACCCTGGGAGTCTTCCTGTACAGTGAATCATGGCTCCGCTGGCTCAACACTCTAAGTCCATCTTTCTGATGGACTGAAGTCAGCCGCTGCAAAGAGGGAGCATCTTCTTCTGACGCCTTAAAATTTCCCACAGCGTACACAGCCTAACAGACAGAGATGGATACAGGGAGGAAAAAAGAACAATCAGAGGAGCACGCCACATGTTAAATAAAGAGCGTGAAAACGTATTTCTTTAATCTTTTTGGAGTTTTTCATTTAGTTGAGAGAGAATACATGAATACTATAGCTGCCTGTCCTTATTCTTATTATGCCTAAGGTCAGAGTGACTCTCCTTCTTCTTTCAATCTTTAAAAAGCTCTTTCCAAAAGTGAAAGACTGCAGAAAGAGAGGAGAGGCGTGGAAAATTGGTAACGACAAGTCGACTTATAATGAAGTGTGAAAATTCTCAGGGAATCTTTATCGGATTATTTATTCTCTCTCGCTTCCCCTCCTTAATAGAAAAAAAGCTATATTTAGTGTGTAAAAAAAATGCTGAGAAAAAAGATGAAAGTGCTGCAAAAATGAGCAGTTTGCTACATGCTGTGATATTGTTAAAAGAAAAACAATACAACAACAAGGCAGACAGCATCAATAAAAAACATCTAATTGTGTCACTCCCACCATGCTGCTTGCTGGCTGTTAAATAAGCTTTGAAGATAAAACTAATTCTTAAATGAAAAGTACAGGTACTGCAATGTAATATAATGAGTAATTACATTTAAAATGATCAAAATAATTGAATACTGCTTTCATTTGCTTTGACTACATTATTTTAAAGAATGCAGCGACCATCTTCTTTGCGTTTCATTAACCCTCCACGCTGCTCTTCTATAAACTAACCAGATAAACTCCAATGCCGGCTCCTATGAGGTAACCCACGTAGACGTCTATCGGGTGACTTCGGTGCTGCGTTATCTGAGTCAGGCCAGCAAGGCCTGCAGCCATGCAGAAAGCAAACACCAGCAGGGGCTTCAGCAGCTTAGTCGTACTGTTGATGCTGGCATTGAAGTACATCTGTGAGAAAAGACACAGATTGGTAAAAGACAGATAGCTTAGAGAGAAGAAGAAAGAATAAAGGCAGTGAGGAACAAGTACAGTATCATGCTTTGTGAAATTATTCAAAATCAGTATTTTTTTTTTTCCATATTTGTCTAAAATGTGTTTTTTCAAGATGTCATGTGATAGACCGGTACGATGTAGCACATAAATGTTGAGTGAAGGTAAAAGGGTGCATAATTTTTTAAGCCATGCTTTTACATAATCCACTATACGTTGATTGCGATAAATTAAATATGGTTATCAGGGTGAATGGGGTCAGATTGTGAGTGATTTAAAGCATCGTTAAGGTTGACCATCAACCTAAACAGAATGCTGGCTGGGCAAACAAAGCATTAATTGATGAAGCAGCCAATAGGCCCTATGATAGTCGTAGAGAAGGCTCAACGATTATTTTCAAACATTATGACAATTGCAATTCCTTTTGCTTTAAGCACAGGCTTGTAGATGTTTCACTCTAGGTTTTCAGTTTTTTCATGGCCTTGTCCAGAGTCCATGGTTGCAAGAATTAGCTGTTACCTTTGCATGAAAAGGTTCTTACTTCTACTATCATGCATGGATCTGCATGCTAGCTGCAACTCTCTATTATCCTTTGTCCATCCATCCATCCATCCATCCATCCATCCATCCATCCATCCATCCATCCATCCATCCATCCATCCAT